TGGTCGGGCATTTGATAAACTGTCTGTATTTGGGTAATTCCTGGCTCAAGTTTCCCTTATTAAAATCCCCCAGGATAATAATCAGAGAGTCCGGGTATAAGCGTTCCATACACAGTACTTGCTCTGCGAGTGCGCGCTGAGCCTCGCGCGCGTCCGCGCATGGCGGTATGTAAACAGAGGCAAGAATGAATGAAACAATTTCCCGCGGGGAGTAATATGGTTTACAATGAATGAAAAGATATTCCAGAGCAGGAGAGCAGTGCTTGGAGATCACTGTCACATCGTTACACCAGTTTGTATTGACGTAGAAACAGAGCCCTCCGCCTCTGCTCTTCCCTGAGAGCGCACAATGGCGATCCGCGCGAAACAGCCCAAAGCCCTGCAGCTCCAGAGCGCAGTCCGGGATCCGCTCATTTAGCCAGGTCTCAGTGAAGCAGAGGACACAGGATGTGGCGAAGTCCTTGTTTCTTCTCATGAGCAGGCTGAGTTCGTCCATCTTATTGCCCAGTGAGCGTACGTTGGAGAGAAAAATGCCGGGGAGAGCCGTGCGCGCTCCTCTCCTCCTAAGACGCACGAGCAGGCCTCCTCGCTTTCCCCTTTTACGGGCCCACACTTTTTTGGCTAGAACATGAACTAAATCAGCCGCAGATGCCAAGAAAACAGGCAATAGGTCCATGGGAACGGTGGGTCGGATGTTCATAAGTTCCTCACGGGTGTAGGAACAGCCAGATGCACAGTTAAAAAGTAAAAACAAAAGAAAAAGAGAGCAGCAAAGAGCCATGTCGACCGTACGAGGCGCCATCTTGAATCTTGTATTTAGTAAGAAGCATTTTTATGAACTAATTAGAAAATAAATTGGGTATAGCATCTTTAATGACAATCACAATAGCTGTTTTATATTTAAACATATGCTTCCCCCGGAGTGATTTATATCAAAACAATTTTCTGCTCGTACTCTATAATTTGTCTGCAGCAGGTGGGTCTTCACGGGCTTCTGTTTACAATACGCCCAAACCTGCAATTAAACGCAAATACCATTATGAGTTCCTCAGTAGAAAGTGCATTTTAGTTATAAAAGTATTAAACAGTTAAATAAATACATAAAAAAACAGAATATACAATGATCTTCTCAAATTCATTTTTTTTTTGCCATTTGCAGTAAAACCACACTGGAATATCATGTCTCCGCTATGTAAGAAGCTAATTACTACTAAAAAAAACCCTACTCAATCACAACTGTTGACTTCCTGTTCATCGCCATAGAATGCAGAAACTTGCCAAAAAGGTTAGGGATGGGATGGGGTGATTCAGAAAACTTGAAATAAGAACTGAGAAGTGGGCGGGGCGAGGTGGTAGGTGAAACCAGGAATTTTCAGAGCTTACTCAGACTTGCAGAAAACACCTTAGCATAAGATCATGTAAAACTCTATTAGAAGAAGGATCAAGACCATATGAAATTTCACATCAAACAGGTCTAAGCTTTACATTTGTGGTCCATGCTTTACATTTTTGGTCTACGCTTGAAAGTTTACAGTCACCACAGACACTATTCTTCTGACCCTGATCCAAAATCTCCATCCCCCAGTTCTCAATAGCGAGTTTTCCCCCTTCAGATAGAGTCTTTTGGGATGTGGTGGATGAGGCTCTTAATCCTCTCTTATGGTCAAGCTTCATATTCTTTTTAGGCCTATAGCCTTCAGTTCCTGTAAATTTCTGGGCTGCCTTGCATGAACAGCAAATTTGAGATCTCCCCAGAGCGCCTTATTAATGTTAATTTGAAAATAATAATTATGTTTAAGGCCAAAACCGTAACATTTCTGCCTTTTTCTTATACATATAATAGAAAGTTATGTTAAAGTACTATCTATATGTATTCCCATAGATATGTATGTATTACTCAGAAAAGTAAACCATGCATTAATGTTGTGTCTCTCCACAGGTCAGACATTGCTGCAATAATCTGTCATCACGCACTCACGTATCCATGGAGATCTGCTGAATGACATGAAGCCTCTGGCCACAAATCACGCTGAAGGACCTGAAATGTGAATTATTACCCCCATTTTTCATGCAGTACTTATGTTGTGCACTGCGTTACGGTTTTTGTTTCACAGGCTGCATGATTGTCAGTCGTTTGATTTAATTTCGTTTATTTATCAGAATCATCATCAGTTACATACACACACACACACACACACACACACACACATGACAACAACACAAAAACTCAATTCGAAATCAATTACAATCGATATAAAGAATAATAAGTACCTGACAACAACACATATATTCAGTACATAGATTTATACAGATCTGCATAGGAAATAATCTATTTGTGTAGATTTGTAGAAAATAAATACTATAATAATAATAATACATTTACAATTCAAACTGCCAGAACCTGCCAGCACCTCAGAATGTTCTCCAGTGACTAAAATGTCCCTTTTTTTAGTTTCAACAATATAGTGTTGTAATACAGTAAAGTAGTGTTGGTTGTTGCAATATCGTGCTTCAGGTTGTAACGACAAGCCAAAGAAATTGTGAGGCAAAATAAGTGGGGAAGAGTGAGTGAGAGTTTGAGATACAAGTAGAAACACGTGGACAGATGAAGGACTGAGAACGGAGACAGCTCACCGACTGCCAGGGAATGTGACTCTGGAGCTGCTGTCAAACTACTGCAAAAAGTGAATTCATTTAAATGGTTGGAGCCTTGTTGTACCGAGAAAAAACTCCAGACCCCTCTTTAAATAATAGTAGTATTTATTTTTATGTCAAATTTATAGTATATTACAAGGGATTGGATGAAGCAGATCTTAATTGGACTGCAACCCTCCCACTTATTCACACAACACAAAACACACACACACGGAACACAAAACACGCACGCATACACCCTCACACACACCCCGAAACACACAACACGAAACACACACTTGTCTAAAAGCCCTGTCTCAAAAACTATTTTGATGAGCAATGTTTTTTTTCCAGAAATGTACAATAATGCAAACAATAACATTAAAAATTGCTAATAAAATGAACCGTTAGGTTTTATGTAGTGATACAAGAGACTTAATACACAAGAATCAATAATAATAATAATGTGGTTTCATATAACGCTTTTTCATGACACTCAAAGATGCTCCACGCTCCATACTACCACTGTAGCCACAGCTGCCCTGGGGCACAATGACGGAAGCGAGCCCCCTTTGACACATCGGACATATACTGCAGTGTGGGGAAAGCGTCTTGCCTAAAGTCACAACAAAGATTATAGCAACAATCTCTCCACTAAGGAGAGAAAAAGTCCATATCATGAGCCCTGATACATTCGTCCATTCATAAATTACTGAACGATGTAGTAAATATTGAGACAGGCCTATTCACCAGTGGAACAAACTCAATTCCACTCCAAAAACTAGATCTGTACTTGAGTCAGGTGAAAAATCTTCTTATCACTTCTTATCAATGTTATTTCCCTTATGTGAGAAATCTCCATGCACCAAACTGCACTTGTTTATCATGACATTAAAATAAAGTATTGGATTAAACTAGATTAACTAAAATTCTCTCTGATACAAAGCATAAAAATGGCTGGCAGCTGGATTCAAAAGCATCGGCTGCTTCCACCCAAACCACCAGTCTGAACTCTGAGTCGCCACATAAACACTCTACAGACTGTCCAACGCAAACACCCAAATTACAACTTCTATTTTAGCTTCTACCCGTCTCTCCTGAAAGCTCAAGTCTGTACATGAGCAAGATGAGAAAATCTGCAGACAAACGCTCACAAAACTATTAATAATCTAAATTTCATCCTTTTGTATTTGGGCTGGAGATACTGTTTATGGATCCCTACATGTTGGAGATATATAGTGCCATACCAATAAATGCATTCCTTAACAATGCATTAATGGAGAATAAACAGAGATTATTGTGAGGCAGCATGTGGAATGAGACCAGATGAGTAGATTGACAGCTGTCTGATCGAAGCCGTTTCAAAATTTAATTGCACAAACAGGTGCAAAGGACACAGCAACCCGTCTTCATAAACAAAAGGTCCAGTTAAGTTGAGATAAAGTGGATGATATGAAGCAAAATGAAAAGGTTGGTCTGTGTTGCTCTGTAGTAGAAGTTGCAACGTGTCCACATCACAACCAGACTCTCTCTGTGGATGCGCCAGCTTTTCTTCTCCCTCTCGGTTCAAGCGTCTGTGGGCCGGGCGAGATGCTGGAGGTGTGGGGGCGGGACTTATGAAGTTCATCCATAATTTAAAGTTATCTGAAATATTCAAGGTGCATGGAATAACATAACAGGTGATTGTACAGTATGTTTAATTTAGAATAAAGCTGACTTTTCCCCATGTTGCAAATGATCTCAAAACAGTCTTGTATCTTTGGAATGAGTCTGAACTGATTTACAAAGTCCCTGACACCTGCTGTTCAGAGTCAGTTCTTGGCCAAAACACAGATGCTCATTCTAGTACAAAGCCTCATGGACAATCAATAAGTTTCACAAAGAAAAAGTTACCACAAGTAGTCAATGCCATCTTCCAACATCCAACCCATGTCCTTCCAAACCTTTACTTTATAATGTGCCAATAATAAACAACAGCAAACTCAGTAACGTGACATTAACAGTGAGATAAAGTGTGAATAAGTCGTGGCCTGGTCCTGCGTAAGGGAAAGCTGTGGTGCCGGTGCGTGATGCCTACGTTCACATCCACGTAGGACAGTGAACTTGTTTGACATGTTTTAAGACTGCCCCATGATGAAGGCGGGGCGCTGATTCCAACATGCACCCGTTATCCTCCGCGCAGGACCTCCCTAAAAAAAGTCCAGGCATATAAAAGCCTAGCTAAGTCATTTGTTTGGGCAGTAGGGAGGTTCTGCAAGGGTCTGGATTGGAGTTACGCACAGACCGGACCCTACCGTATATGAGTGGAGTCTGAGGAGAAACAGGATTCCCCAACCACAAAGAATCTACATGTCTAATATTTAGACATGTTCAGCTTTGTGGATATTCGGATAGCGCTGCTGCTCAGCGCAGCGGTGCTTTTGGCGACAGGACAAGGCGAGGATGATAGTAAGTACCACCTAAACTCTGGCTTCTAGTCCCGGGACAGATGTGGATACCGAGGATGCTGGGACTGCTCTGCGGGACACCTGCCTCCAGCGGGCAGGGATGAGGCATCGAACGAACACACTTTTATGGAATTCGTTTGGAATTTCTGTGATTGCCTGAACTCGTGAACGTGCACGTACTTGCTCTGTGCGTCCTGGAGACCTGGAGAAGTTTTTCTGATGGACTTTTCAAGGACCGGAAAAAAGCCATGACCACAGACAGACACAGACACGTCCAACGGCGCATAATAAAACTACAGCTTTACTTTTCCAAAGTGAAAATCAGTTTAAACCCAGTCCGTGGTCCAGCCCCACTGCACCACACGTGCCAAGATATGCAGAGTCCAACAGATGTTTTCCGTCCGGGCCCATGAGTCAAACGCCTTCGTGGACAATTAGACTTCTTATCTTTTTAGACTTTTATTTCAACAGCATTTAAACAATATCTATGAAAATTTGTCATATATTTATTATCATTGACGACTTTATGTTTTTCATGAGGAAAAAGACTTACAGGAAAACTAAGGCTGTGCAAACTAAATCAAGTCAGATTTTGTGCACAAGTTTTTGTGAACAATGGAAATTTTTTTTTTTTTTTTCCTGACGTTTGATAAGTCTAGACGCCAATTAATCAGCAAAAAAGGGCGCGGGAGGGCTCTTATAGTAGGCAGGTGGCGCCACCGTGTGGCTACAACGTATATTACAAGCGCATCATCTATTTGATGCAGGCCGCAAGTTCCCAAAAGCCAAATGAAACATTTAGAAGGAAGCATAAAAAAACAAAAGCTTACGCAAAAGGTACACTCATTATAATAAACACAAAGGTGTATTACACAGTGTATAAATTGCAAACAGGTACAAACCAGACAGACTCAGAGATAACTTTGAAACAAAGTCTACAACAGCACACTATTAGGATGACAGTTTCTCATTGTTGTGCTTTTGAAGTGGAGATGTTTGTTGCATTTAAAAGCACATTGTGTATGCTTTTGTTCCACGTACAACTTTTCTGGATGTAAACTTACTTCTCCTCTCTGTTGTTCCAGGCTTAGCCGGCAGCTGCTCGTCTGATGGACAGTTGTACAATGATAAGGACGTGTGGAAACCTGAGCCCTGCCAGATCTGCGTGTGCGACAGTGGAAACATTCTGTGCGACGATGTCATCTGCGAAGAAGGCTACGACTGCGAAGACCCCATCATCCCCGAGGGAGAGTGCTGCCCCATCTGCCCTGATGGTACTGCTCCTGCTGCTCTCATACTGGGGAACAGCGCCACCTAGTGGCCCAGCTCAGCTCTGGCCTATGCAGTCACGTGTCTACCTGACCACAGTCAGCTTGACCTTTTGGCCTTCCTTGGATTCACCAAAACGACCTTTATGGATTTACTATTTTTTGTCTTTTCAAATCAATTTTTGGAATATATCTGCTTTTCTGACGCTCTGTCTTAAAATTATATTTCTTCAATAATTATTCGCTGCTGGAAGCGACTGCATATGTCAAGTTCACCTGGGTCACACAGGCACCCGTAGCATGCTCCAGTGCATTTGTGTTTTCCTGCTGTTTCAATCATTATTTTTGTGATGACACTTAGTTTTACTGCTTTATTTACTATGTTCTTTTACTTTGGTTTCCAGGACCCATCACCGAATCCCCGGTAATTTATTTCACTTTTTTCGTCTTGACCTGAACTATTTTGGACTATTTTCAGTCAAGACCATTAGATTCTAACAGCTCTTTTTGTGTTTCTGTAGCCAGTCCCAGGAGACAAAGGAGACCCGGTACGTCACTGTTGACTTCTTCTGACTTCTTTATTACATATTATATAAACCAATACAAACAGTATAAAGCCTAGATTAAAATACAAATGTTGTACTATTATAATACTTACGTTAAAACAATTCCATGTTCCTAGAGTGTTGTAATGATTAGAATGGTTTCTGTGTAATGACATGAAACATGTTTCTATAAGACGCACAAGTGTTTCACTGTGACACAGTCATGAATGTCAGGTTAGAAGGTCAGCAGGTCAGGAACAGGTCAGCTTGTGTGTGCTGAAACCAATAGATCTTTATTAATAGAAGTAAACAGTCATATGTTTTTGTCTGATCAACGTCATGTTTGCTCAGGGTCCCCCTGGTCCTCCCGGAAACGACGGCATCGATGGAGAGCCCGGCCTTCCAGGACCTCCCGGCCCCCCTGGGCCCCCCGGCCTCGGCGGAGTGAGTCACACTGACACTTTTATCCACCCATGATGTAAACACATGTTTTCTACTGCGGTTTATCGACAAAGGACGACTGTAGATTGAATCTCCTAAAGGATCCAAATGTTCTGATCAATAGAGAACAGCTGTCCCCAGAGTTGAGTCCAGAGAGGTCCAGAACACATCAGTACATGAACCTTAGAATGGAGACGAGCGCAGTGCCTAACGTCAGCATCAGCATAAGGACTATCTCACACTGAGGTTAATACAGTATTTAACCTGAGAGCCATCATGGCCACATTAGGCCCCTGGCCCCTGTTTAATCATGTATGTCAAAAATCAACCAGCAAACTTTGCATAAGTGCAGATACATGTTAAATGGAAGATATTCCATCTGATGCACAGTATTGTATTATAAGATGCACAACTGAACTAAATCCTCATGTAAAAGACACACACAACATGTTTGTCTTTGTGCGTATGTTTTGTTGAACTCTAATGTTGTTGTGTTGACAGAACTACTCTCCTCAAATGTCCTATACTGACCACTCCAAATCCAGCGGCCCTCCTCAGCCTGGTCCCATGGTAAAGCACTGCTTCACACTTACAGAATGTCTTTCTGACGTGAAACCAATGTCAAACTTAAGTCTACTTTCTGTCTCAATAACAGGGCCCCATGGGTCCCCGTGGCCCCCCAGGACCTAATGGAAACTCTGTAAGAGCCCTCTCCTCATTTAAACATATGGATCTTGTGTTAAATGATCTAATAACAATAATCTTCTAATTGATTCCATGTAGGGTCCCCAAGGTTTCACTGGCCCCGCTGGTGAGCCTGGTGAGCCCGGTGCTGCTGTGAGTGTTATGATTTTTTTATCTGATCAAATTTTGTATAATTTTTATCATTTTATTTAAAACATGTCTCTGTGATTCAGGGTCCCATGGGCACTCGTGGTTCAGCTGGTCCTCCTGGCAAGAACGGAGATGATGTAAGTTATAGTTTGTTTTTATGATTGAATGCAGCCACAGACTTTTTGTCGTTTGCCAAATGTAGTAATCGGCAGTGTTTGTATTTAGGGTGAGCCTGGCAAACCTGGTCGCCCTGGTGAGCGTGGAGCTGCTGGCCCTCAGGTGAGACCTCAAACATCACTTCAGCTTTGACCTCTTTATTACGATGGTTTTATTCACAATATTTGAAAATGCATTGCAACTCTCCAAAAACTGAAATAGAATCAAAGGAACAGTAAAGTGGGTGAGATTACGATTTCCAACAGCGTCCTGTTGGAAATCGTAATCTCACCCATCTTTCATTGTGTCAAAAAAGTTTTTATGATTGAAATTTTAACCTTGATTTATTCATAAAGACATCCATTTAGGGTGTTCGAAAATATTGTTTTGGTGACATACTGCGATATAAAGTATTATCCTGTGAGAAAAAATGTGAACATTAGAATTTGCAATAAAAATAATTGGTTAGAAAATGCCTTTGACACATTTTATGTTGGTTGTATGTTGTATGTTCAGTGCAGAGTAGTACACCCCTGGATTTTTACAGCTTTATCCAATCAGAAATCAGAATGAGCCTCTCCTTATACAATGTCCAGTTTCAATGGTGAATTCCCATTGATTCCATTTTGTTCTCAAGGTTTCAGTGAGAGCCCCCAAATATGCAAGAAATCAACTGTATAAGAACAATACATTTTACTGGCAAAACAATCTATATATATTCTAGTATTGAATTCAATTGAATTGATTTGATTAGGTGCACTGCACAATAAACAAAAATGAATTACGTCGTTTGCCAAAAATACTAGTTTCCACCCATAGTCCTTTGACAGGTTGGTGTTCTCATTACAGTGGGTCTATTCATAATTATTGAGTGTTGTGTCAAATTATGTTTAGGAATCATCTCAGGCCCGCCCAGCTCACTGTTGGGGCTGATAATATGACTGGAGTTACAATACACTAACAATCCTTCAATCGATTTATATTTTCAGAGCCCTTTAAAACACTCAAGGCGACTTAAGTGCTTTACAATACAATTAGTGAATTCTGGTCATTTCCCGTAAAAAATACAGAATTTTAATGTTGAAGTTAAGTTAAGTGTTGAAGTGTTTTTCCATGGTCATTCTTTCCTGCTGGTTAGAAAAGTTTGGGCACCCAGCACCTGCAGACATGAGTGATTGGACGTTAGTGTTTTCTCCCTGCAGGTGCAAACACGGCTTTGCTTTTTTAATCCCTACACTTCCTCACGTGTCTTCTCTTTCTTTCTGACAGGGAGCCCGCGGTTTCCCCGGAACTCCTGGACTTCCCGGCATCAAGGGACACAGAGTCAGTATCGTAACATATTCATAGAAATAGAAAGAACGCGATAAAGTTTCTGACCCAATCCGTTTGGTTTAGGGCTTCTCCGGTCTGGATGGATCCAAGGGAGACTCCGGACCTGCTGGACCCAAGGTAACACCCACGATCATTGTTGTGTTAACGTCGTATTGTGAATTGAAACTAAAATGTGATTATTTTGTGTGTAGGGAGAGCCTGGAAGCTCTGGAGAGAATGGCATGAACGGCGCAATGGTGAGTGCGTCTATTTTGTGTTTGTAAAAGTTATGTGCTAATGATAATGTGGATTAAGATAAACTTTATTGATCTCACAACGGAGAAATGTACATGTCACATTTGGCATGGGTAGAAACACTCAGATTGTGGCAATAGTTTAATTATTATTTCCAACTTGTGTTTGTGCTTTGTCAGGGAGCTCGTGGTCTTCCCGGTGAGAGAGGCCGCCCCGGACCCCCTGGACCCTCCGTAAGACCATCTCCTATAAGTCGTCTTCGTCTTCATGTTTGGAGTTTTTGTCTCACCGTCGTTTCCCATTTCTTCTTATTTAGGGCGCTCGTGGTAACGACGGCAACTCTGGCCCAGCTGGACCTCCCGTAAGTGTTTAGCGCATCTTTCAATAGAAACATTTTTCTCTCACAGAAGATGGAATTGTGATAATAACTTCATGTCACTAATGCCACTCACAAAGTATCTATAAACATGGAGAATCCCAGTTTTAGTATAGTATTATGTGCAGTATTATGTCCTGAGCTGAAACATAAACAGATCTAGTATATAAGTATAAGTATAATAACCCTAACCCGCTTTAGCAGAATAATGTTTGAACAAAAGCGTCCAACATAAGTTCATCCATTGTTTATTCAGCATTATACATGAGTTTATTCAGCATTATACATGAGTTTATCACATAAGCTGAGACAAAAAGAACTTCTGTCCACATGAATCATAGCAAATACTTCTTTAAATGTATTGTTCATTATGATATTTGTTGTTTTTATGTTGCTTGTGACGGTTCTTTCTCCTGCATTTTATAAAACGTAATGCTTCACAATACTGCAATGAGAAACAAGCATGCTGTATGTAAAAGCTACATATTATTTTAGGCTGCAGTCAGAAAACTAACAACATTTAACATATCTGGTTGGTTGAAAGTTATTGCAAAATGTTCTTGACCCATGATCACGTGATGGTTTTGAAACTGTAAATACATGATGCTGTAAGCCACACAACAAGGATGCAATTGTATTTTTATTTATATTTGTGTATTTCCTTCTATTCCAGGGACCCACTGGCCCCTCTGGTCCCCCTGGATTCCCCGGTGGTGCTGGAGCTAAGGTATGCGTCACTGAGAAAAATGTGATATTGTACATATTGTATTGTACAAAAGCACCATCATTTTTCTTTCTGATGTACAAACCAAAAATAACTGTTTAATTACCAGTGATAATCTGTTAATTATTATTGTGTTGTGGTATTCATACTCTTGTACATCCAATTTCTAAACCTGAGCCCTTTGGACATTTTATAGGATTACATTATTTACATTTAAAATATTGTGATGTATCTGTTTTTTGATTATAATTTTTATTTGTATTATTATTATTACACGTTCTCTGAACTGTGAGGGTCCATTATGGCCACCAGAGGGCACCAGCGCACCTCTGATGGAAAGACCCCCCCATACGTGAATAAGAAAGAGGAAATAACAGATTTACATATCACTTATTTATCTAAATTTTAGTATTCAATGAATGAGAATTCATTGAATACTGTACTATCGTGCAGTCCATCCATCCATCCATTTTCTACCCTTTAATCCATTTCTGGGTCAGGGGGGTGACAGTCAGAGATGCCACCCAAGTCTCATAGCACCAGCCCCTCACTGACCCTCTGCAGGTGGTGAGTCCACAGGAGGACGGCTGCTCTCTGAGTGTGAGCATAGCCTTGATCTTTCAGTGGGGGCTTTTTTGGGCAAAGTGGGGTTAAGTGTCTTGCCCAAGGACACAACGATAGCAGTCATCAGTGGGAGTCGGTGGAGAAGGTGCAGAGGTGGGAATTGAACCCACGACCTTCTGGGCTTAAGGCCAATGCTCTACCAACTGAGCTACTGTCGCCCCTATCGTGCAGTATTCAATGAATTCTTAATGAAATCCCTCGTTTGTCCAGAACATCAAGATAGAAACACTTAAGGATCATCATCTGGACTCTTTTTCTCTACATCTGTCTGAGAATCCTTCCCTGTCGCCTCAGAATGTCTTAAACGGATAATCTTGCTTCAGACCTGTGTTTCCAGAAACAAAATGATTTATTCTAAACTCCGTAGACACTAAACTTTGAAAGTGTCACATTATTTGACTTTCAAACACAGTGACAATGTCATTAGAAATATCAGCATGGAGCAGGCGGCAGCTTTTTGACCATTTTCCAAAGATGACTAAAACCTAAATGAAAAGTCCTAATTCCATGGAAAACCAAAGATTTTGTCACTGAGTTGCATTTGTAGAAATGATCTTTTAATGACAATAGCAACAAGACTTAACTTCAAGAGTTCTCTAAAGTGTAGCTCCATATAGAAGATGTATGTTTATCCATTTATTCTAATTCTCTTCTGTTGTTTAGGGAGAGACTGGTCCTCAGGGAGGCCGTGGTAATGAAGGACCTCAGGGAGCTCGTGGAGAGGCCGGTAACCCTGGACCCGCTGGACCTGCTGGAGCCGCTGTGAGCCTCATGTCCCGATCGCTGGCTTTCAGATCAGCTCTCTACAGCTCTGTTTCATATACATGTGGCCCAAATGTCCCAAAGGCTGATTATTGTAACAACCACCTCACAGCGCCCACTCACAGTACAGACTGTAATTGCCTTTTGGTTCAGTGGGGATTCCAATTGGTGGAAAATACTTAAACTTACTTGTAAGCTGAAGAGTCAAGTCACAAGAAAAATGATGTGAAATGTTCTTTGAAAAGCCAATAGCATGTTATAAACGGAGAATCTTGTAGCACTCTGAGATGATCTGAAACCCACCGATGTCTGAGCATTATTATTGATGTCTAAATGATGCTGATTACTGTTCTGTCCCAATAGGGAAACCCCGGATCCGATGGTTCTCCTGGTGCTAAAGGTTCTCCTGTGAGTATTCAGAACCAACACATGTAAATATGTTTGGAAGTTGTTTTAATGAAAATGCTAAAATATCATGAGATAATGTAGAGCAATAATATAGTTGTGCATCTCTGCTCCTCCACTCACCGGGTCTCTGCACTGATCTCCACAGGGTCCCGCTGGTATCGCTGGTGCCCCTGGATTCCCTGGAGCCCGTGGTCCCGCTGGAGGCCAGGGAGCTGTCGGTGCTGCTGGTAGCAAAGGAAACAATGTATGATACATTTACAAACGTTCTTCAGATTTGATAATTTATATGTTGTTGAACCTCAGAGTAAATAACTGTGTTTGTGTCCACAGGGTGAGCCTGGTCTGCAGGGATCTAAGGGAGAGCCTGGTGCCAAGGGAGAGCCTGTGAGTTTACCCATCCTGACATTATGTAGTTGCTTTGGTCAACAATAAACAATTACATGTAAACAACACATTTTCATATTCGAGATATGACAATTATAAAGATTGAAAGTGTAGGCTGTCTGTCACATATTTCTCCTCACCCCAATTGATTTTGAATCAAGTCGCAAAAACACAATTTCAATGTCATTTATTCAAATGAAACTTTATGTTTTGCTCTCTTCTTTAACCTTTAGATTCTGCTTACCCTATTTTAATTATCATCAATCAATTAATTCATCAATTCTTTTGCATCCAGGGCCCAGCCGGTATCCAGGGTCTGCCCGGACCCAGTGGAGAGGAGGGAAAGAGGGGAGGACGTGGAGAGCCCGGTGGTGCTGGTGCCCGTGGACCTTCAGGAGAGCGCGTATGTCAATTTAATCAAAATCACAACTTCAACAGGACTTCACAAAACTGCAGATTTCCTAATAGCAGATTAGAAAATCATTATTGTTATTGGTCATGTCTACTCGATACTATAAGGACTTCTCACGACATGACGGGAGACTTTTCCTTACGGGACCAGGATCTTTTCTCAAGTCACACAAAATCTGATATTATTATTAATCTTTATTTCAGACTCAAGATAAAATTGGTCCATACAAAAAATAAAAAATAAACAATAAAAGGGCAATGCATTCAAATATATAGTATCATTTCCGGCAGATTTAAAATAATCACATAAGATGGAGGAAGTGTGACTTGGGAAGTATAAGAATCTTTTCTCAGACTTTAAACAAATATACATTAACTTTCCATAAAATAACAAAAAAAAAACATTGATACGACTGGACTCATATAAATGTTAACATGTATAACATTTTTCATAACAGAATTAAAAACAGATTAAATTTTACCAACCGGTAGTTGGTATGTGTATAGTTTTGTTGATCTATTTTAGTTATAGCATTAATAACTCAAATAAGACTCTCCATTCTGACCACTTTCAGCACTAAATGGATGGGTTCATTTCTGACCAATACTTTGGATAAGCTTGTCAATAACCTGTAATCTTGAACAATGATGTTGTTTAAGGTTAAGTGTATAATAAAAATAATCCAGAAAACCTCTTCATGTTTATATCTTCCCCTCAGTAAATATCTTCACCTTATCCTCTGGCTTTGGTTAAACAACAACAATTGGATTACTGTGAATTAATTGAACAATTCACAGTTGTGTCCCAGATTAGCTTGTTGCAGCACATAAAAGTACTACATTTTATGTTTTATCAATGATCAATGATTCCTATGGTAAGGACTAGGGTTCCCTTATGATGAATGTTTTTTTTTATGTGTGTCTGTTGTAGGGAGGTCCTGGAGCTCGTGGATTCCCTGGTTCTGATGGAGGTGCTGGAGGCAAAGTAAGTGGAAATTTGACATTAGTTTTATTAGAATACTGTAATAATCTCATTATACTCAGGAGTTCATTATTGCTTTTGTCTGACAGGGCGTCCCTGGTGAGCGTGGAGCCAACGGACCTGCTGGAGCTCAGGGCGCCACTGGTGAAGCTGGAAACCCCGGAGCTCCTGGTGCCCCTGGATCTAAGGTATGTTAGTGTCATAAACATTGTAGATACAGTTGTTTCAGTCAAATCACATCACAGGTTGAACTCTTCCAATAAATAAATGTTAGTCTAGTAGTAGTCATGAAATGTTTACAGTTAGAAGTTCAGAATAATATTTACAGCGATGCTTGTACATAGGAGCGGCATGTGATATGGACATAATAGAGTAGAGAAATACCAATGGAACCAGCAAAAATAGCTTGTTTTAAAAATAAACAAGAACATTTAAGAAATGTCTTCCTTGGAAGAGAAAAACATTTCAACAGTTCTTGAAATAAGACTAAATGGCTTGTTCCATTGGCAAATATTGTAACAAAGGTAAAAACACTTGATTCAAGCATGTATTACCTTCATAATATTTTTGTTGTTGTGTAAACATTAATTAGTACACATTTACCAAAAAAAAGTAAAAACCTGTGGCATGGAATTAATGTTATTTTTATGTATACAGTGTTTTTAAACTAGTTTTTGTCATAGGGTGTGACTGGAAGCCCTGGATCTCCTGGCCCTGATGGCAAAGTTGGACCTGCTGTGAGTAACAAACCTGAGGCTTCATAATCATTAAAAGTGTGTGAGTTGGACATTATTGATCTTGTCTTTTACCTCCAGGGTGCTTCTGGACAAGATGGACGTGCCGGACCCGCTGGACCCGCTGGATCCAGAGGACAGCCTGGAGTCATGGGATTCCCCGGACCCAAAGGAACTAATGTATGCTATTTACCTTCTGACAGTGTGTGATTTTTGAGAAAATTCTACACATTTTGAATTCATTTGAACTGCAAAGTCAGCGGATATTCTTGATCAAATCTCCTTCTTGACAGGGTGAGCCTGGCAAACCTGGAGAGCGAGGCCCCGCTGGAGCTTCTGGTGCTGTTGTAAGTGCAATACAAAGTGACTGTTTTCACCAGCAGAAAAAGCACAACCCTGATGAGTGAATGTTCTGATTGCAGGGTGCCCCTGGAAAAGATGGAGATAACGGTGCCCCTGGCCCCTCTGGCCCCGCTGTAAGTTCCCGATGGCTTCGATTATGAAATTCTAATCTGCCTCCAGCTCTAATGATGCTGTCTTTGTCCAGGGACCTGCAGGAGAGAAGGGAGAGCAGGGACCTGGTGGACCCAATGGATTCCAGGGTCTTCCCGGACCCCAGGGAGCCACTGGTGAGACTGGCAAACCCGGAGAGCAGGTACGACAGTAGGATTGCTTAATACTGTGGGTCAGTTTTACTGATGGTGGTTTCTTCTTGTCCAAAACAGGGAATTAATGGTGAAGGTGGTCCTCCTGGCCCCTCTGGACCCAGAGTAAGTACATCCCATGTGCACATGTTTGAAGTGGCTCTGTCTCAGGTGTAAAAGTGTGGAATTGTCCCGCAGGGAGACAGAGGTTTTCCTGGTGAGCGTGGAGCACCTGGAGGTGCTGGTCCTACTGGCCCTCGTGGTTCTCCTGGTCCCGCCGGAAACGATGGTGCTAAGGTGAGTTTACATTTTTAAAATATGTTTTGACAACGTTTTTTATGTACAAAAACACTGTATATACAGAATGCAAAGCCAATGTTCGTCTTGTGCCCACACTAATGCAAGATGGCCGTGTGTCCTAAAGGGAGAGCCTGGTGCTGGCGGAGCTCCTGGAGCTGCTGGAAGCCCCGGTATGCAGGGTATGCCCGGAGAGAGGGGATCTGGAGGCCTTCCCGGAGCCAAAGGAGAGAGAGTGAGTTCTCCATTACTTTCAATACAAATCAAAACTTTACATGTAGTTTTTAGTTTGACAGATCGGAAAATCTATTGAAAAAATATATTAAAAACATAAGCTTAAATCTCATAGTTAATTCTGCACCTTTTAGTGCTAAATAAATTGGTGCGGACAAGTCGAGAAGATTATTTAAACATTTGTGCTACAGTGAAATCATAACGTTATTGACCTGATTTCTGTTGATGCTGACTTTGAATGATCATAGGTACAATTCTGACATGTCTCTTTTGAACAGGGCGATGGTGGTCCTAAAGGCCCTGATGGTGGTGCAGGTAAAGATGGCGCCCGTGGTATGACTGGTGCCATTGGAATGCCAGGACCTCCTGGTGCTCAGGGAGAGAAGGTGAGATCTAAATAATGTACCGTTTCATTGTTAAATGCAAAATGTAAATGTTTTTTTTAAAAACTCTGCTTTCTGCTTCAGGGAGAGGCTGGAGCCGTCGGCATCGCTGGACCCACTGGACCTCGCGGATCTCCTGTAAGTTCCCTCATATACATATGTTTGGTCACATTTTGAATAAATAAAATCATTTTTTTGTTCATGTGAACTTCAGGGTGAGCGTGGTGAGACTGGCCCTGGTGGACCCGCTGGATTTGCTGGACCTCCTGTAAGACTTTTTGAAATAAATGCATGTGTCAAAGAAATTGTTGTGAACTGAAGAAATGTCGATCCGACCCTCTGTTGTCTTCACTCAGGGCGCAGACGGTCAGCCTGGTAATAAGGGAGAGACTGGAGACACTGGACCTAAGGGAGATGGTGGTGCACCTGGACCCGCTGGCCCTGTCGGAGGCTCTGGTCCTCAGGTGGGTTCCAAGATGAACATGATTATAGTTTATGTTATTGTTTCATAATTCATGTCTGACTCAAACATTGGTGTCAACAGGGACCTGCTGGGCCCACTGGAGCCAAGGGTGCTCGTGGTGGTGCTGGACCTCCTGTAAGTATCCGTTTTCAAAGTTAATGGTGGAAAGAAGATGATGAAGGTCACATGCATCATTGGTCAACATGTGTTATGTTTCAGGGTGCTACTGGTTTCCCTGGACCCGCCGGTAGAGTCGGACCTCCAGGCCCCTCTGTAAGTGTCTTTTATTTAACTTTTACAATGACCCTATATTTTGTTGATGAATCATGAATGTGCTTTTGCAGGGGGCTGCTGGACCTCCTGGACCATTGGGACCCGTTGGTAAAGATGGACCCAGAGGAGCACGTGGAGAGACTGGAGCTGCAGGACGTCCCGGTGAGGTGGGCACTGCTGGACCCGCAGGACTGGCTGGAGAGAAAGGATCCCCTGGCTCTGATGGATCTCCTGTAAGTGATGTTTCTGTCTGTGAATGAAGGTCATTCTTCTCTGCTTCTACAAATATGTCTGTGTCTTCTGTAGGGCACCCCTGGTATGCCTGGACCTCAGGGTATCGCTGGACAGCGTGGTATTGTGGGTCTCCCTGGACAGCGTGGAGAGAGAGGTTTCAGTGGTCTGCCTGGATCTGCTGTGAGTGTATTTATTTATTAGATCGTTAGTTTGTGCCTTACTCAAAGAGTTGTGGGAGGATTTGGTTGAAATGTCCAGGACAGCTCCATTATGGCACAATACCGTGTGTTCACCGTCTGTAAGATTATTTTGCTACTCTTTCCACTGTTGATTTGAGGCTGCGAGTTATGATTGTTGGAGAGATCTCTTATTTACACGCATCATTCTCACATGTACTCATTGTATTCAGGGTGAGCCCGGAAAGCAAGGACCCGCTGGCCTTTTGGGAGAGCGTGGACCCCCAGGACCTGCCGGACCCCCTGGACTCTCAGGAGCCCCTGGAGAGGCTGGACGTGAGGTATGGATCAAAGTTTTACACAATAAACCTACATTTATGCAGTTATGAAATGTTAAGAACAAATGTAATCTACATTTTGATCTTAGGGATCTCAAGGTCACGATGGAGCCCCTGGACGTGATGGCTCTGCTGGACCCAAGGTAACCTCTTCTTCTTGTCCCAAACTGTTGAAAGATCATGCTCTGTAACTTGTTGAATCATGATGTATCCGTAGGGAGACCGTGGTGAGAGTGGCAATGCTGGACCCCCTGGACCTCCTGGTACTCCTGGTGCCCCTGGAGCCGTTGGCGCCTCAGGCAAAACTGGAGACCGCGGAGAGAGTGTGAGCATTTTATTTCTTTATATACTGTAGTCATTTTATCAATGTAGGTTTCGACGGCTCCATGTTCTGTCCTCATACGGACTCTTTTTGCAGGGTCCCGCTGGTGTTTCTGGTCCTGCTGGCCCCGCTGGCCCTCGTGGATCTACTGTAAGTTCATCTCATGTACCAATCAGTTTTAACATACTTCTTTCACATTATAAATCACTATGCTCCTGCTTAGGGCCCTGCTGGAGGTAAGGGAGACAGAGGAGAGGCTGGTGAGGCTGGAGACAGAGGCCACAAAGGACACAGAGGATTCTCTGGAATGCAGGGTCTGCCTGGACCTGCTGTGAGTCTCAAACACACGTCATACGTCTCTCTGTCTTTTGTCCACTCTTACGTTCAAATCCCTATGTGACTTCATCTAGGGCCCCAGTGGAGAGAGAGGACCTGCCGGTACTTCTGGACCCGCTGGACCAAGAGTGAGTATTTCAGTGGACTTTAATCTTGATTCTGTTGGAGACTTGGTTTTGGAGACTCCAACCTGTTAATTGAAAGGCATTATTATTATTATTGAAATAATAATTCAATGTATTGTTATTATTATTATCTCTATTTTCTATTATTAAAGAACCCTTCCTGTTATTTTTCATAGGGCCCCTCTGGATCCAATGGCTCCCCTGGTAAAGATGGAGTGAACGGCATGCCCGGACCTCTCGGACCTCCTGGACCTCGCGGTCGTAATGGAGAGATGGGACCTGCTGTGAGTTGATGTAGTTTATCCTCGAGTGCAAACAAACTTGGGCTTGATTAGTACATCTGTAGACCATAGTCTAGATAAAACTATATTATATAGAACTATATTTGTTTATTTAACACTGGTGTCTCCTACAGGGACCTCCTGGACCTCCCGGACCCCCTGGACCCCCCGGACAAGCCGGTGGTGGATTCGACTTTGTTCAGCAGCCTCTTCAGGAGAAGGCCCATGATCCTCTCCGTGCCGGATACCGTGCTGATGACCCCAAAGCCATCGCTGATCGTGACACCGATGTGGACACCACACTCAAGACCCTCACCCAGAAGGTCGAGAACATCCGCAGCCCAGACGGCTCCCAGAAGAGCCCCGCCCGCATGTGCCGTGACCTGAGAATGTGCCACCCTGAGTGGAAGAGCGGTCAGTATTAAACATATTATTCACTGTCTTAAAGAGTTCAGAGTCAGTTCTGTTGAGAGAGGTCCTGAAGCAAATATGGCCATTATACAGACTGTTATAGTGGTACAGGAAACATTTGATCACAGTGGGTTTTTTGGTCTTATTTCACAGGCTCATACTGGGTGGACCCCAACCAGGGCTCCTCTCTTGATGCTATCAAGGTTCACTGCAACATGGAGACTGGAGAGACCTGCATCTACCCCACCCAGGCCAGCATCCCCATGAAGAACTGGTACATCAGCCCAAGCAGCAAGAAGCACGTCTGGTTCAGCGAGTCCATGAGCGGTGGATTCCAGGTCAGGAAACTCTTTGCCTATGAATTCTATTTCTAATAATGACACTAGAAATATTACACATTAATAGCTCTACTTTTTTCTCATCCTCCAAACATTATTGCCCTTACTACTCTAAACTCTACTCATAACATATCCTCCCTCCAACAATTTACACTTTTTGAACAATATGGACCGTTCTTCCTTTAAACGGAAACAAAATCATTGATATATGCATTTAAGGAAGTTAAGTGAATTGAGTTAACTCACGTGGCTAGTGGATTAATCAACTTCATTTGTGTGAACACATCCTAAAATCAGTATTTGTGCTCTAATTCTACCCAAATACAACAAGCAGTAACTACATGAATACAAGTACTTTTGTTAATCATAACATAAAATGTACATTGTTATTTGCAAGTTTCACTAAGTTTGGAGGTAAAGCTTAATTCTTACTTCTGAGCAGATTTCACGAAATGCAATATCACATACTTGGTTGGGTTACATACATAGATAGGGTTAGGGTTAAATACAAAGAATATGCACAACAACGCTTTATAGCACATGCACATCCAGACGACCACAGTGCTGACCCTGCACTAGTGGACTGTGGATATGGACAGATCTGTGTGAGGGAAAACTCTTCTCAAACCCTTCTTTTCCCGTCTGCACAGTTCCAGTACGGCAGTGAGGGCTCCGACAGCGAGGACGTGAACATCCAGATGACCTTCATGCGCCTGATGTCCAATCAGGCGTCTCAGAACCTCACGTACCACTGCAAGAACAGCATCGCCTACACGGACGCCTCCACCGGCAACAGGAAGAAGGCTCTGCTGCTCCAGGGCTCCAACGACGTGGAGATCAGAGCCGAGGGCAACAGCCGCTTCACCTACAGCGTCAGCGAAGACGGCTGCACGGTACGACCACGGGCAAACAATAATCACAATAAGAGATTAGCAATAAGTCTTTATTTGTACAGCACGGTGTTTACATTAGCAGAATATTATCTTGTGAAAATTATGCAGAATGTGTGAATACAGGGAATGGAAGGGATTGTAGGCTTAACTTCTGGTAGTGAATATTTGGGGTAATCCAAGAAAATGGGTTGAATCTGGAGTCTATGCTATTCTGATGGAAGTCTTTTCTCGCTGATATGAAGTTAGTCTGTAGTTAAACGCATATGTATAATATGGTTGGAGCCATTTTGTATCAACTTATATTGGCCTTGTGGAAGTATTGAAATAGCTATCAGTCATGAAAAAGCTGGTTTGGTGCGTTTGTAGCTGTTGTTTTGAGATACAAAAGGTAAAATCAAGGGCCAAAAGGACAGATTTTATTATCACTGTTGGTGCACTGATTTAAAGTTGTTACTTTCTCAATTGTGGTCTGATTCTGGTTCCTGGCCTCAAGTAATTTTCTCTTTACACTGTATGTACCTTATAAACTACTGCCACTAAGATAAAAGTTAAAACATAACATTTTATTGATCTCACAATGGAGTAATTTACAATATTTGCGGTGCAGATTTTTTTTAAACGTAATTTAATAAATATATATCTTTAAAAAAATATTCTGAGGTTCCTTGCACTTTTTTAATGCAACGTTTGTGGGAAGCCAGGTCGCTGTACAGATAGTAGTGTTGTCACGATACAAATTATACTCTATTTCGACACTAGAAGTACTCAATAACCAGTTTTTATACAAAAGCAATAATTTGTATTTGCTCTTTTTGGCCAACTCTGTCTAAAGGGGTATCTATTGGACATATCATGGAAAATGTACTATTCACAGATTTTGATCATGTTCTAAATGTTTCTGCTTACACAATGCTAAAAAAAATCGTAAAGAATCTTGAAAATCCGCACATCACAACTTGGAGCGGTGCCTTTGTTGCAACCTCGTAACCACGTTTTAACCAAAGGGGCAGAGAGCAAAGCCATATGGCAGGACTTAATATGGACGTTAGCAGACATGAGATTTCAAATGTACTAATAGATAATCACTATGTAACAGATGTAGCAGTTGCCGCTATAACTAAATTAGGAAGAGTAAGTGTTTTTAGAAGCCTACATGCAACTATTGAATCTCTTTCTTTCTTTCTCCTTTCTCCCTGCAGCAACACACTGGCACATGGGGCAAGACAGTCATGGACTACAAGACAACAAAGACGTCCCGCCTGCCCATCATTGACATTGCTCCTATGGATGTTGGTGCTCCCGATCAGGAATTTGGCGTTGAAGTCGGCCCTGTCTGCTTCTTGTAAAAATGAACGAATTATGGACATGAAATTGTTGTTTTTTTTCTAGCAGTTCATCTCTAAAAAAAAAAAAACCCTCTCTGTGCATTCCAAACGCATTCGGCTGCCTACGGTCTACACATGCTTTCAAAACCACTCTTACAAAGGACGACGATCAATCATGAGTTTGGGGACTGCTACTTTTCCATCGAAAACCCAAGGACACAAATGACACCTTTGTTTCCACTGGCAACAAGAAAATAATATATGGTTTTGTATAAAAAGAATCCCTTGAAAAAAACACAAGCGACCTTTGCCATTCAAAGCCACCACTGCGGAAGGACATTGAAAACAACTGATGAATTGTACCATTTTTCTGGTGTTAAATAAATTGTAAAAAGTGTGAAGTGTCTTCTTGTTCTAAATGCATGACCAGAAAAACAAACTGAATGATATCAGCAGGACAAAGGAGGTGTGTGGATGGCTACCTCACAACCAGAAGTCGTAAATGCAACATCTATTGGTGCTATGGCCACTGTCAATGCTGTTACTATGTTACCATCGATGCCTGCTAAACGTGGTGCTATAAATTTGACTTTTTGTTGTCTATGCAGTGCAATTTCTGTCTTCTGACGTGTTGGTTTGGTGACAGAGGTCCTTTGAAAAGATGTAAAACAAGCATCAAATATTTTGTAGATACAACAACTCAACCTATTGCTGCCCAGATCTTTTCTTTCTGTTGTACAACTATGGAAATTCTCACTAAAAGTTCTCGCACACATGTCTCTCTTGTGAATGTTTGTCTGTAGATGTCTTTTTTTTGCGAAGGGTTTCTAGAAAGAAAAAAAAAGGAAATTGAAGCAGATCCACTTTCATGGTTTTTTTAAAGAGAGATTTTGTACGTATTTTGTACATGTATAATAAATCGAGATGTTTTTAATTATTTTGGGTGCTGAAATAAAGCATGTGAAGTGGTCTACTAAGTTTACACTGTCCTGTGTGCAACTGTTGTGAAACGAAACGGGAAAAATTGACCAAAAATAAAACTAATCATTTGCCTTTGACACACATAGATAAACACACACACTTAGATAAATGGATTAGTGCAGTGTGTTCCACAATAGTTGCTTTAAAATGTTCAATATGCAGTGAAAACAGACCCAGCAATGACTCCAGATATGAAAACACATTATATTTATTATGAAGTTACATAAGGGCAACATTCAAACACATTTGTATATTTGTGAGTGGAGAAATGTGTGCTGTGTTTTCAGATACAACAGTGACACCTGGTGGACACAATCTGTAACGTCAGCGCATTGAGAATACGGTAAGAAGGTGCACATTGTAACTTTTCTGATGTCCTGAAAAAATGACATTCAAAAAGTCATTGTGACCAAACTGTTACGATAAACATCATTTTTTTTCTCGTTAAAGCTGGGGTACCTAACTTTCAAAGGAAAAGATAAAGGGAACTAAAACAGCTTTCAAAACAATTTGGTTAAATCTGTAGTTTTACATGTGTTTTGTGGCACAGTTCTAGATGAGCCTTTTATGACAGAAAGGTGAAAAAGAGAGGACGTTTTCACTCAACCAATCAGATCTTGCCCCAAAGTAGCAAACAGTAATTTTATTTATTTATTTCTTAAAGGGACAGTGCATATTAATATATATTATACATGTAAATATGGTCAGCACTAGATCATATACAGAATCGGGACGGACGCGGAAGTAAACATAACAAACTACCTATTCATGCCTAAACTTAACCAGCCATTCCCATAAAATAACCCCAACCCACCCTTAACCCTAACCTCAACCATCTTAATCAGACGCATAAAACTTAACCAGTCACCACTTAAGGACTTTTTAGTCTAAACTAATTTGAAAGTAGGATTGTTACTTCCGGTTTCATCCCGATTCCGAAAATGATCTAGTGCTGACCATGTAAATATGCCATAATTAGCCAAAGGGCTATTTTCCATCTGAAGTCCCTGGACAGTTGTTATGTGTCCTCCTGAAGTGACTTTCTTACCAATAAGAGGACAGCATGTTGTGGTCTGTTTCGCTCACAGCAATTTACTTTTACAGCTTGAATAATTGTATTAGATTGCATGGATCTGGATTATCAGACTAACAAATAAAAATAAAAATAAATCTGTACAGAACAGATGATGGGTGAAAAACCTTCCTTTGCTTTGACTAATCCCTGTACGACTGAGGGCTTACATAAACTTAACAATAATAATAATAATAATAACAATAATAATGTTAAAAGGATCACATCACCTTACATTACATGATCAATCTACATTTTTAAGTCATAACATTAAAACACATTACAGCAGCTATCATAATATGAAAGCCAGTACAAATATTTACAATTTAAAACACACAATGATTGTATAATAGCCACAGCACCGCAAATATTCCCACCATAAAAATACACAAATCGTAACTAGCATGTTTTGCATGTTATTGCACATCCGTTCATTACTTTTCTATTACTGTTAGTGTTTCTATTCCCGTCCTGGTTTATAAAGTATATATGGGTTTATCTTGGCATTGAGTCACTGTGGGGTTCACTGGAGAAACAGAAAACAGAAAAAAAGGAAAAATCAAACATTGTAAATAAAAGTGGAAATGATAACCGCTAAATAAATAGGTTGTTAAAACACATACGGCTAAAACACTGCTACTGGTGTGATAATAAATACATCTTTTTGTTAAACATTTAATCTAAATAGGTATTTTTTTCTCCCAGATTTATCATTTTATTTCCCAATTTTAAATAATGACGCCAATCTGCTGCAATAGGTATTCTAATGTACTCAGAAATTATCAAAAGACACATTAAATACAAGATAATAATGAACTTAAAGGGGACCATAAGTACTGCCTGCGATGGTGTCAATCAACCTATCGTAGGCACTTTAAGCACTTGATGCACTTTAAGCACCTACTCACTGCTGAGCCAGGATCAGGGGGATGTTGTCGGACTGAAGAGGCGCTCTCCGTTCCCCTGTGCGGTAGTTGAACATGGGCAGAGCGGACAGAGGCGGAGGACCAGTGCGATCTGAAGCCATGTGCCTCAGCCCCTCCGTGTCGTCGTGGATGGTGTGGTGATGGAAGAGCTGGAACCTGCATAGGAAGTGTATGTTTTTAAAGGAGATTTTATTTTCAAATGTGAGACCTAAACAAAAAAATGAAATTTACTGGATTACTTGATTTAGACACTACTATTGCTACTGCCCCTTCAACTGCTACTACTGCTACTGCTACTACCACTACTACTGTTACTATGTTACTACTGCTGCTGCTGCTACTACTATTACTACTGCTACTACTCCTATTACCACCACTGCGACTACTACCCCTACTACCACTAATGCAATTACTGCTGCTACTCCTCCTAAAATCACTTCAGCGGAGGCACTTGCATGTCAAAGCCCGACCCTGTTAGACCTTAAAAGTTAAGTAGGGCAGGGCCTGACTAGTATTGTGATGGGAGACGCCTACGTTAGACGAAAAGTGAGGCAACTGCAGCTGTGTTGTGTCTATAGGCAAGACATCTCACCCACATTGCCAACTGTGTGTGTGTGAATAATTGGTGGTGGGCAATTGTGACTACAGTAGTAATTTATTACCACAGTGTTTGCAGTGCATGAATAATGTTCATGTGAGGCAACTACTGCTACTATAACTACTATTACTAATACTGCTTTTTAGGAAGTAATTGTGACGTAACAGGTCAGTCTAAATCAGTTGCTTGTACTCAAATACAGTATGTATTGTTTTGCTATAATTGCACAGCGTTAACAGTGTATATGGAGAAAACTGACTTACTGGTTTGTCTTTGCATTCCTTTTGGGTCTGAAAACATTGAAAACAAAGACACCGTCACACGTGGATCCAGAAACCTTCCCTTTCTGACGTCTGTAGCTTTACTCACACTCCCTCGCGTCGACAGAACATGACATAAGCCAGCAGCACACTGAGCACGATGGCGATGATGAGAGGCACGATCACAGTCACCACGTAGTCCGGGAAGTAGTCTCTGCTCGGGGGGGACTCTGGGGGGTCGAAGTCTCCTCCGTCCTCCAGGATCCCCGAGCCCAGGGTGGGAGCGGGAGGAGCCGGCTTCGGGTTGGACAGATCAAACTGGAGACAGAGCATTTGTGGTTAATATTTCCACTGAAACAAGAGCAAGATTAAGATAAAAATATTCTTTATATGTCCCACAGTGGGGAAATTTCAGTGTTGCATCCCCAGTTACAAAACAGTAGGAAAATGCAACAATAACAAACTCATTCCAATTGTGAATTTCTCGTCTATTAAAGCTGGGGTACCTAACTTTGGAATCACAAAACACTAGATCATCACTAGTTCTCACATGCATCTATTTTTGGCTTATGTCACATCTTTAGATCAGCTTTTGCAGACAGAAAAGCAAAACAATCACAAAAGCTTCTGCACAACTATATAATGAGGCTGATTATGGGCTCAAAACATCAAGGTCCTGGGATTGACTGAGCATGTGGGGAGTTTGTTTGTTCATAAATAAACAAACAAAAAATAGCTTGAATTATTAACATTTTGTAAAGGTTTTGCCAACGGGACAAACAAAATGTTAATAATTCAAGCTATTTTTTGTCTATAAAAAAGCAATCTAAGAAAGATTTTCCTGCTTATGAACAAACAAACTCCCCACATGCTCAGTCAATCCAAATACATGGATGTTTTGAGCCCATAATCAACATAATTACATAGTTATTGTGTAGGTACCAGTTCCGTCTTGCACCAGCTGATGCAGTTGCTGGGGATGTTGCAGAAGTTGCATCCTCCCGGGGCTTTGACTCTGGCTCCTCTGTCGGCGCCGCTGCACTGTCGCGAGTGTTCTGGACTCAGCACGCTCAGGAGGCACGGCGAGAAGTTCCTCTCCGAGCCCACTTTCACATACACTCTGAGGCCCATGCAGACAGAAAGACCGTGTTTGGTATTTTCCACAGACATAGACCTATTCCATCTTCTACAGGGGAGTTTATTGTCCAAATCACAAATCACATACAAATTCAGGTTCATTTTTCAAATTAACGTTAGTATTTTCACAAAAGTAGTTTTCACAAGCTCTTAGCAATAAAAAGTAAAATTATATCAACACAAGATCATAGATATGCCGGTTTACTATTCATAAGTAAATCTGGGGTTACTTTTTTGAAAAATAAATCAAGAGTAAACGTATGTGAACAAATCAGAACACATAATGCTGTCTTTGGAAAAAAATACCCTGATTTCTGAGCTCTGTAGATCACTATTTGAACATACAATACATACATGTGAAAACTAGTGATAGAACTAAACTGTTTAAGTCCTAGGATTTTACTATTGTGCTTTGAAAGTTACTTATCTCCACTACAATTCTGTTCAATTTGTATACAGACATCCAAATGTACTCCTAATAAGTTGTTTGGCCGTACCCTTCAAAGTGTCCGGCCAAGGGTAGCGGCACTCTGCCCCCTCGGTCCAGTGCATTGGTCATGTTCACTATCTCCAAAGCCTCAGTTCCCCACAGCCTCTGCAGGTCCGCCTTGATCTCACTCTGAACAGCAGGGGGCAGCACCTTCTCAATCTCCCGCAGCTTAATGAAGAACTCTGCTTGATAAGGCAGGATCTTCTCTGAGGGACAAAGGGTCAGGGAAACATGAGAGAAGAAAACTGGGGTTAAAACTGAACTATTCATTTAATCAGAGGAAAATCTGTTGCCTCTTTTTCTCCCATAAATATTGTATTCTGTGTGTCCAAACAGATAGTCTTGTAAAAGTTTAATGTGAACAAATCAGACAACAACATACAGGCATTATTTGATTAGAAAACAATCTTTATGCACACATATAAGAAAGATCCGTGTGGCTGAGAGCTGATTGGCTGAGTGAGGATGGGCCTAACTTTCTCACTGTTAAGTCTGAAAACGTTGAAATAAATACTGAAACTGATAGAAGTTTGTTTTGAGAGCGAGGACCTATAGTGAGATAGATTTTATTACTTAGTTCAATATTGCTGCGCTTTGAAAGTTACTTTAATCAAAATCTAAAACTATGTACATTATCTCTCATATACAGTATAAAATGTGCACTAGATTTCTGGATTAAATTGAGTATATTTTGACACAATTATTAACAATAGATACATTTGTCCATGAATACTCTTACCGTCAACAGCTTTGATCACAAACAGCTGCCGTGTGGTCTGGTAGCTCTGTTTGTTTACCGCCCAAACCTGCCAAATCAAAAGGAAAACGTGACATCACTTTGACCTTATACAGACAGTGTTTCTCCACATTTTCCTATGGCACATTTCCGTACAGGCCTCATAAACGGCCGCAGTTTCTATATAGACTGCAATTAAAGTCTGGACCTCAAATTACCAGTGTTTTTAGTCAATGTATATAATTAGCTGCAGGGAAATCCCATCCACAATTGTAACCAAACTTACTTCTATTATACTTTGACCAGGGACCATTGGTGTGCCGTACAGAAATCCGTTATCAAAGGGATGTCTCTGGGTGAACCGTAGCCACTCGGGGAGGTCTGGGAAATTCTGCAGCTTACACTTAAATATTATGGGGTCATCGTACAAGTTGGTAGCTGTGATTAGACGAAAAGGCTATAAATAAGCACAATAGCGATTTGTGATTGTGTGAAGGACGAGAATAGATTACCGTAAAGTTTGGATAAAGGCTCAAAGTCGCTCTGAAAGGTCTCTCGCATGAGCTCATACGAGAATAACTTTCCCACTGGGACGGTGAACTTAAACTCGGCGTTTCCTCCCGATGCACACACAGCACAGACTGGAAAAACAGATACATGTTATGCTAACTATGAAAACTTAGCAATATTAAACTTTGATACAAGTTTAACAGGTTTTCTAATGACATAGCAATACATTCATATATTTACAGTCTAAGATTTGTATCAATTTTGGCTGTACTCAATATGTAGCAATAAGTCGTTTGTCATCCATGCTTAAACTTGGGTACCTAACCTAGAAAAACAAAGGCAAACAAAAAATAACATAAACAGACTCTCCATTAATGGTGCCGTCACAGAAAATCCCAAAACTATTTCTAAATTTTGTGAACATTTTTACAAAGATCTATACAAATCCAACTTCTCACTAATGCATATGAATGAATTCTTTAAGCATGTAGATCAGGTGAAATTTATTGGGGATTCAAATCAAGCAATTTGTGACTCACCAATTACAGCTTTGGAGATATTTGATGCTATTAAAAAGCTTAAACTGAACAAATCTCCAGGTACAGACGGGTTAACCTCTGAGTTTTATAAAGCCTTTTCTCCTCAGCTTGCTCCATTTATTTTAAAAGTATTTTCAGAAAGTATAAACAAAGAACAACTTCCACCTTCACTATGCCAAGGCTTGATTACCTTAATTCCCAAACCTCATAAAGATGTTGCTCTATTGGACAATTGGCGTCCCATAACACTTCTCAATAATGATTACAAAATTTTAGCTCTTTCTCTTGCAACTAGGCTAAAAAAGGTGCTTCATTGTGTAATAGAGGAATCCCAGAATGGTTTTATGACTGGGCGATACATTATTGACAATATAAGACTCATTTTAGACCTGTTAGATTACTCTGATTTAATCTCAGAAGATAGCTTTATCTTATTCTTGGACTTTCAGAAAGCATTCGATTCGGTGGAGCATACATTTTTGTTCAAAACATTAGATCTTTTTGGCTTTGGTGAATTTTTTAAGAAATCTGTTCGAACCTTGTACTCTGCTGCAAATAGTTCAATCAAATTACCTCATGGGACTACGGGTAGGTTCAATGTTGAACGCGGTATCCGCCAAGGATGTCCCCTAAGTGCCTTTCTATTCCTTTTACCTATGCAAATTTTAGCATATTCAATTCAAAATAGTTGTCTTAAAGGTATTACTATTGCTGGCAGAGAAATAAGGTTAAGCCAACTAGCTGATGACACCACGCTTTTTTTAAGAGATGCCTCTCAAATAGATTGTGCTATAAAGCTATTAGATATTTTTTCATTAGCCTCTGGTCTCAAACTCAACCTTTCTAAATGTGAACTATTTCCTGTCAAAGACTGTTGTTAGTCAGAAATATTAGGAATCCCTGTGAAACAAAAAGTGAAATACTTGGGAATTACTATTATGAAAGATGAAAACTTAAGACCAAGAGAAAACTTCAATCCCCTTACTTTGCTAATACAAAAGAAATTTAATATGTGGCTATGGAGAGACCTGTCTATTTCTGGTAGAATATTACTTTCCAAAGCTGAAGGTCTTTCAAATTTAGTTTATGCCAGCTCAGCACTTGAAGTCTCTAATGACATAAATACAAAGGTAGACAAAATGTTATTTGACTTTATTTGGAAAAAAAAGTCACACCTTATAAAAAAGGATGTAATGATTAACAAGCTATCCTCTGGTGGGTTCAATGTTCTAGATTTTAAAACCTTGCATCATTCTTTCAAAATCAAATGGATAAAAAGATATTTACAGAATCCAAATTCTTTATGGAATTTCATTGCTACACATGTATTTGAAGCTTTAGGAGGTTTACATTTTCTATTAAGGTGCAATTATAAGATAGAAAAATTCCCCGTTAAACTTTCTAATTTTCACAAACAGTTATTGTTATCCTGGTCTCTAGTTTATAAGCACAATTTTTCACCTCACAAGTATTGTATTTGGAATAATATGGATATATGCTTTAAGCACAAATCACTTTTCTTACAAAAATGGGTTAACCATGGTATAATTTATGTACATCAGTTATTTAACAAAAGAGGCATAACGTATTCTTACAATGAATTCTTGCATATATATAATTTCCCAGTGTTGCCAAAGGAATTTGCAATTGTTTTTGATGCTATTCCGTCAGGTGTCAAAATATTGATGTCAACCTATGTTCACAATCCTACCATAGATTTATCCCGAGAGTTATATATTGGTAATTCTGACCCCTTTTTAAGTGTCAAAACAAATAACAAATGTATTAGAGAGCTCATCGTAAGAGACTCCATTAGGAAACCAGCTTCTATATTTGTGTGGGACAATTTATTTAATGATATTGAATGGGACTCTGTGTGGTTATTGCCGAAACATTTTTTTGTTACCAATAAGATTCGTGAAGTATGCCTCAAGATTTTGCATAGATGTTACCCGGTTAACAGTGTAACATCCAAATATCGTTTAAATGTTGACCCTCTTTGCTCATTTTGTCATGTCACTGTAGAATCAATTAGTCATCTTTTCTGGGAATGTTCTTACACACAAGTATTTTGGAAAGACATTAATCTATTTGTGAATAGAAAACTTACCATAGATTTACAACTAAACCTTAAAGATATTTTGTTTGGTATTTATTTAAAAAATCTCCCTCCAAACAAACGGTTTATTTCCAATCTAATATTAATACTGGCCAAGTATCATATCCATAGCTGTAAGTACCTCAACCAAAAACCCAAACTGGTTGTATTTGAATCACTAATGTCCTCTTATTTGACCTCGTTGAAATATTTGTACTAATGTCAAAGCCATGAAGACCAAAGATGTATGTAACGAATTTGCACTGTAAAAATATATATATATATATTTTTTGTATCTTATATATTTTTGTTTACACTGAAAGCTGAAGCCTTGCATACCTGAGCCTCGAGCTTGTTTGTTATTTTTGTATATTTTTCAATAAAAAAAAAAAAAAAAAAAAAAAAAAACCTTTTTCCCATTATCAAAGATAAATTTGGTTTTGTTTACTGAAAATGATGTAAAAATATAATTTTGTCAACAAATCAGACCACCACACACTGCCATGATTTATTGGGAAATGTTATCTTTTGCATTCTTGTGAGAAAGAGCCCTATGAGCCACTATTTGACTCTTTGGGCTAAGAGCGGATTGGCTGAGTGAGGGTGATCGTCTGTTTTCTGTCTGAAAAAGCTGATCAAAAGATGTGACAGAGGACAGAGATACATGTATGTGAAAACTGGCGATAGAACTAAACTGTTTTGAGAACAAGAAACATGTTAGAGGGATTCTATGAAATAGTCTATTGTGGTTTGAAAGTTAAGTACTTCAGCTTTAAGTCATAGAGTTACTGCATGTTCAGTCATAATGGACAGTAAAAAGCATAAGCTGCTTCAAAAGAATAACTTTCCCCACAATGTTTTACCACACCTAGTTACTTACGTGCACATAGTAGCATGTTATCAAGGGTTTTCTGTTTCCAGTGCAGTTTGAGTGTGAAACTTGCCTGTGAAGAAGAAGAACCAGCTCCTCCGGTCTGCCATCTTGTTTGGGGCTTTGATTGACAGGACCAAGAGGAGAAGGGCCTGGTCTCCGCAAATGACACGCAGCTATTTTTGTCCCCCACCTCATAACATCCGGCACCGTCTGGTCTCTGCCCCATCATACATTCACATGAATGAGAATAGTTATGTATGATATACATATATATATATATATATATATATATATACACAACAAAATTGTCCACTCACCTTTGGCCCTCCGCAGGTGGTTATCCCTCTCTAAGCTCGGGTCCTCTACCAGAGGCCTGGGAGCTTGAGGGTTCTGCGCAGTATCTTTGCTGTTCCTAGCACTGCACATTTCTGGACCGAGATGTCCGAGGTTGTTCCGGGGATCCGCTGTAACCACTCTTCTAGCTTCGGGGTCACTGCCCCGAGTGCACCGATCACCACGGGCACTACTGTCACCTTTACCCTCCAGGCCCTCTCCAGCTCCTCTCTGAGACCTTGGTATTTCTCAAGCTTTTCATGTTCTTTTTTTCGGCTGTTACCATCGCTTGGAATTGCCACGTCCACCACCACGGCTGTCCTCTGCCCTTTGTCTACCACCACAATGTCAGGTTGGTTCGCCATTACCATTCGGTCGGTCTGTATCTGGAAGTCCCACAGGATCTTCGCACGCTCATTCTCCACCACCTTTGGAGGAGTTTCCCACTTAGACCTTGGGGTTTCCAGCCCATACTCTGCACAGAGTTTTCTGTACACTATGCCAGCCACTTGGTTATGGCGTTCCATGTAGGCCTTCCCTGCCAGCATCTTGCACCCTGCAGTTATGTGTTGGATCGTCTCAGGTGCCTCTTTGCACAACCGACACCTTGGGTCTTGTCTGGTGTGGTATATCTGGGCCTCTATCGCTCTGGTGCTCAGTGCCTGTTCCTGTGCAGCCATGATGAGTGCCTCTGTGCTGTCCTGTAGGCCAGCCCTTTCTAGCCATTGGTAGGACTTCTTGAGATCAGCCACTTCTGTTATGCTCCGGCACCTCCTCATCTCGCCACTGCCTGAGACATTCACTGAGTACGTCATCTGTTTTGGCCTTCTCCATGATGTAGTTATGGAGTTTGGATGTTTCGTCCTGGACAGTGGCTCTCACACTCACTAGTCCTCGGCCTCCTTCTTTACGGCTTACGTACAGTCTCAGGGTGCTGGATTTGGGATGGAACCCGCCATGCATGGTAAGGAGCTTTCGAGTTTTAACATCTATGGTCTGAATTTCTTCCTTTGGCCACCTGATTATTCCTGCAGGGTATCTGATCACTGGCAGGGCGTAGCTGTTAATTGCCCGGGCCTTGTTCTTGCCATTGAGCCGGCTTCTCAGGACCTGCCTTACTCGCTGGAGGTATTTGGCAGTTGCCGCTTTCCTCGTCACCTGTTCGAGGTTGCCATTTGCCTGTGGTATACCGAGATACTTGTAACTGTCCTCAACGTCTGCTATTGTTCCCTCTGGGAGTGAGATCCCTTCTGTGTGGACTACCTTGCCTCTCCGAGTCACCATCCTGCTACATTTCTCGAGTCCAAATGACATCCCGATGTCATGGCTGTAGATCCTGGTTGTTTGGATCAGAGAGTCGATGTCTCTCTCTCTCTCTCTCTCTCTCTCTCTCTCTCTCTCTCTTATATATATATATATATATATATATATATATATATATATATATATATATATATATATATATATATATATTTATTGCCTTTTATTTAACCAGCAAAGTCCAACTGAGCTATATTACTTAGTGGTTGGGGAAACCGTAGCACCCGTGCAGGGTCGTGAAAAATGACTATAGCCACAGCTGCCCTGGGGCACACTGACAGAAGTGAGACAACCAGTATGGGCCATCAGCCCCTCTAACCATCACCTAATCACGCACACAACAGACTAGTATAGACAATGTGGGTGAAGTGCCTTGCCGCAGCCGCTCCACTGTGGCACCTGTGTTCCCAGAGGGCTCCCATCCCAACATTATAATTATTGAATAATTATAATAATTCATTCAAATTTTTAATGCTTATTTGGACACTCAAGGACACTCAACTCAAGAAACTCAAGAGTAACTTTCAATGTTTTTTTTATTTTTTATATTTTTATCTATCTTTGGAAAAAAAAAGTCAAAATGTGGCAACTCTCCCACCCTTTGTTCACACAAGACGTCATTCATCTACTTTTGAACTGATAACTTTGTCTTATCAAACAAAAACATTGAGAGTTTGACCTTGGATGACGTCAGTGAGAATCTGAGGTATTTTACAAACAAGTTACAAAACCAAACATTTCAGGCTCTTTAAATGTGATAAAAAACCAGCCGAGCGAAGATTGTACGGAATAAGACATGGTTTAATGATGCAGCTGAATGTTGTGCATAATACTGTCATGGACTCTGACTATTTTGAACTTTGATTTATTTTGTTTATTATTACTCATCTCTTGTGTTGCTTTTTTGAGTTTTCCTTGTCTCATTGATGGTTTCCCCCGCCCTAATGTGACTATGTTTATACCCTATGCATTTCCCCACTTGTTGTCGGTCCGTTTTCCATCCCTGTGTTCCGAATTTTTGTGTTTTATTGTTTCCCTGGATTTGGTTTTGTTTAATTAAATGACACTTTACATCCAGTCATAGATGCATTTTGGATTCCTTTTTATTTTTCATTTTTTACCTGATGACAACTACTAGTTATTGGCTCTTCCGGCACGGTGCCTGAGTGGATAGCACTCTCGCCTCTCAGCAAGAAGGTCCTCGGTTCGAATCCCGGTCGTAACAGGGCCTTTCTGAGTGGAGTTTGCATGTTCACCCTGTGTCTGCGTAGGTTTCCTCCGGGTGCTCCGATTTCCCCTACCACTAAAAACATGCACAATAGGTATGAATGTAAATGATAGAGTGAATGGATGGTGTTGATTGGAGCTGACGCGCCAGTGTGTTCGCCGACTCGCTTCCATCATCACCGTGTGTGGAATGATTGGAACAATATCTGAACTCTGAACATTGTGAAGCGCTTTGGGTGACCTTGGTCTGTAAAATGCGCTATATTATTAAACATTACTTACTTACTTCCATTCTATGTGCTGAACATTTTTCCATAAATGTCCATATACATACTTGCATTGGACTGACTGAAATCTTCTCAAAATGTAACATTTGAATTCAGAAATCAAAACTGTATGATTATTATTAAGCTGCCGGCAAAGTTTGTTCCCATTATTTGATCCACACATTTTCAACACTACATTATGACAGCCTATAATTGTTCACTGCATTGCAAAGAGTATAAATCAGCTCAGTGTCAAAGCGGGTTGAACTTTTGGACACTCTCTGTTCCCTTGACAAGCTGTGACGAAGCTCCTTTAAATTATATTATGACACTGGAGTCAAGGGCTAATTCCTATGATCTTCTTGACGTCCACTTCTTCTCTGAAGTGGACGTGACTTACCACACTTTTCTATAAGAGATCCAATGCACAATGTCTGTCAAAGCTGTTTCCCCTATGGGTATGCAGCTGAGTAATGGCATTTATCATGTTTTAGACTTTTTCCAATTGAGTTCAACAGCCCACGTGTCTTTGAAAAGTACTGGAGTAGCTGTAAACTCATCCAAAAGGAATATTTATGTTGGTTTTCTCTACTGCTGTTTCAAGCATCCATAAGCACAGATGTAGAGTGGAGAGATCTGCACTAAACAGCATGATGTGTCATTGGCCACAAGGGTTTGACGTAGGTGGATTCTGCTGGGTCCTAGTGCCTTTACTCTTCTACTCACAGGTGCCAAAATCATAGGTTTTTATTTTTGGCTATAGTACAATGGTAGTAATGATGTTTTACCCAACAGCATTTATTATTGTAATATAGCAATGTGTTATTTTACGGTTCAAAAGCACAACAGCTGGCCTGACACAATTGTTGATTTGCCAGAGAAAATCAAACATTTAAACGTCATTGGTTCATTACCCAGTCGTCCTCCTTAACATGTTACAGTAAAAAATTATTAAAATTATAGACCTTATCATGATTCATTCATGCTGTATAGAGCCATAATCCAAATTTCAGAATCCAAATCCAAATTATTTGTATTACCATTGTAAATATAAGGAAAATACAAGGAATTTGCTTTGGTAAATGGTGCAAAACAAGTTATAAAAAAATAGGTATACATGCATGCATAATTTTTGTTGATAAAATTAAAATATACACATTGAATAGACATTTAACAGTTCAGGCTATTGATAAGTGACGTCATAAAGTGACAGAAGTGTAAGGTGACGGTTTTGAGAAATATATTTTTAATTGAATTTTGGACTGAAGACAGAAGAGAACGTTTTCAATGGACTTTCCCCTAAAATCATCACAATAATCAGATCTATTGCATTCGCACGGATCATTGCATAATCTCTTCATATGTGAAAAACAGCAACATGTCCATCACACATCGACCCCAAGATTAAAGCAGGTGTAAATCAATTAGGTATAAATATGAGTTATTGTTATTGGTAGCAAAATACACACACATGTTTTAAATGATGTATGTAGATTACTGTAAAAATGTGCAAATAGTTCGTTTTGACACAATCATATAATGGTATCGTCTATAAGTTTGATGAAGAAGGAGAATGCAGAGTAATAATTGTGTCCATGAGAGTAAACAAACTTGGCTGCTTTCCCCATAATCCTCTGTTAGTGTTGAGAGGTGAATAAAACTCTAATCCAGGGTTACTCAATGAACTCTGACCACCTGCTTCACCAACACATCCAAACATCGGTCAATCCTTTTCTCTCATGAGCTGCCAGGAGCTGGAATCTGCAGATGTAAAAGGGCTGTGGTTTGTTCTGTTATTCACCACTATTGTGAATCTAGTAATTGTGGATTACTGGGTGTCACCTGCATGGCCAAGGCTTTGACATTGTTCAAGATTATAACAGCCATACAATAATAATGTAATATCAATAATGCAAACTGAAACGTATATGGCAAAGGACAATAATGTTTACTGTGTAGATTTTTGTTGTTGTTTTGTTGTTATAATTTACAGAATAAGCATCTTGAAACACACAATGATTAGGTAACAATCATACAAAAGTATATAAATTCAGTATTATTTATGTTATGGACGTTTCTTGGACAAATCACATATGATAATGTAATAACATTTAGCATTGTTTTAAATATCAGATTAAAATTAATTTATTTCAAACTATATAATTATTTATTTATTTTATTTTATTTTTGATTATTACACATATTGTTTTTATCTTGACGACCTGCATGATGTCACTCAAAGCTGGTCAGTGAATGTGTCCTTCCAATATTTACAGTCTATGGTCCTTCCTTATGAACCAGTCTAGTCCATGTCTAGTCCATAGAGCTTAGGTCTGGTCCTCCTCCTGCTCATTGACTGTGCAGAGTCCCCTAGGGGCGGGCGGCGCTAGGACCCCGCGGCTCCTCTCTCTCGATGCAGCCGCAGCAGCACACGCTACAGAGGACCAGAGATCTGCAGCTCCCAGAATGAAGAGATCAAAATGATGCTGTCTGTAGAAAGGGATTAAACGTAAGCAATCTGTCGTCCCCTGCGGTAAATCCACGGCTTGTGTTTGTTCCACTTTCCGCGCGACACATTGATGACCACTACACACGCTTGCAGCTCTGCGTAATGTAACGTAGCCTCTATCACTGATCTGCGGGAGCTAATGACAGATGCATGGTGCTCACTTTCTCCGTTGCATTGGAGCGTTGCAGCGGATGCAAGCGGCCTATAACACGATCTGTTGTTTTTGTTTCTCTCCATCTGCCGGTGTCCTGGTCCTCTGCATCCCCACACAGCTGCGGCGTCACACGGGACTCGTCAAAGGAGACATGAGCATCCGCTGAGCAGCACGACTGACCATGATGAAGACCGAGAGCACCTCCAAGAGCGCCGGCTCCACGCTGCGGAGCCCATCCCCGCACCGGAACGCGTACGAGGCGGGGATGCAGGCCCTCAAGCCCGTCAAAGACAACACGTCCAACGGGGACATGCAGGAGGGCCCCCGTGGGCGCAGGTACGGCTCTAACGTGCACCGTATCAAGAACATGTTCCAGCAGATGCAGACCACCTCCCCAGCAGCGGAGGGGGAGGCGGAGGAGAAGAGCGTGGAGAAGCCTGGGCGTGTGTCTCTGCCCAGAGCCGGCAGTCTCAATGAGAACGTGGACCACAGTGCTTTGTTGAAACTGGGATCCACTGTGTCTGAACGCGTCAATAAGTTTGATGTGAAACCAGAGAATGGGCATGGGCGGGCCTCCTCACCCAGCTACTCCAAGCTGCAGGAGACACGGCGCATCTTTGAGCAGCAGCAGCTGGAGAAGCAGGAGAAGCTGGTCACCACCAGGGTCCTGCTCAAATCAGACAAGGGCACAGGTTACCCAGAAGGCAGGCTGGACGTGTCTCGCTTCAATGGCAGCACAGAGTCTCTGGACAGCCTGGACGCCAGCGAGGCAGTGTCCCCCACAGTGAGCCAGCTCAGCCAAGTGTTTGAGCGAGCAGCAGAACTCCGAAACAACCTGCACCGTTTGTCCTCCACCCCTCCCCTGCCCTCCAGGGGCGTCAGCGCCAAGGTGGGCGTCCTCAACTCCAAACTCATTACAAAGAGAGCTACAGCCTTTGCATCCAGTAACAGGGACGAGGAGACAAACAAGGGCCAAGAGGCTTCAGCGAGGGCCTCCAGAGCGAAGGTTCTGCCTCCATACGACAGCATCAATGGAGGCGAAAGTGCAGCTCCTGAACTGCCAGAGCCTCGCAAACAAAAGACTGTGTCAGACGCCGGCGTGGAGGCCAAAGTCCAGGAGGAACGAGAGCCCAACAGCACAACACAACATGACTCTCATCTTTCAGAGAACGGAGACGCCTCGCACAGCTCGCCAAAGGACGCTGTGCCCAGGGGGGACGCAGAGGAGGGCGAGGACAGGACGGTGCCCACAGAGCCGTCGGGACAGCAGGCGGTGGACATCAGCACGTACAGCGCTGTGGGGGACGACTTCGAGGGGAGCCAGGCCGACGAGGACGAGGAGGACGATCGATACGAGCCGGAGTCCAGCTGTGTGGAGATCTGTGGGCTCCCTGCAGAAGAGGAGCCTCCACCGTCCAGGAAGATCCGCTTCAGCACTGAGCCCATCAAGGTGCGTACCAACGGCTGGCAGTAATCCCAGTGTAATATCATGTGAGAGAGAGAAACATGCATTCAAACCAGAAAAATAATAATTATCACATGGATTTTGACAGTTTTGCTTGTATATTTATACTATAGGCCAGTTTATATTGATAAAAGATCAATTGACTTCATAGAGGATAGAAGAAAGGCACCAGCAAAAGTACAGTTCAAGAAACCGTAGCAATTTTTCAAGTTCCAATTTTTCTTTTGGTGCCCAAGAATTAAAGCTGGGGCACCTAACTTTCAAACATCAAAAAAACAAACCATGTATTTCGATCCATCCACGTAGTTCCTCACTCTCAAAACAGTTTGCTTCTATATAGTTTTCACACACATGTATTTTTTTTGCCTCTGTCACATCTTACTGTACTGTATTAAAAAGAGTAAAGATAAAGATAACATCCCTCAGTTGTCTGCACAGCTGGATTCAAACATTGTCAGAGAAGAAAACTGTCTCACATTTTCAGGAAGATTTCGTCAAACAACATTTTACTTTCCCTCGACTTTCTCTTTCTCTGTTTGAAGAAACACAAATTATTAACATCCAAGTAGAGTGAGGCTCCCCAGCTTTAACAGATAGCTAGATCTTGCGGTTTTGGCTCATACAGTATATTGTGATGTCGCTGTATCCTCTCTGCTGTCAGCTGTTTTTGTCGACTTGCCGTTCTTCCGCCAGTGTCTGGATGATGCTGACATTTCGATTCTTGCCTGTATCAACATACCACACCGCTGCACTCGCTCACACGCTCCCTCCCTCCACAGTAGCCAGCTGCTGATGGACTGCGTTCTGCATTCCAGCCCAAAGCAGCTGCTCCTCCTCTGTGTACACCGGCTAAAACGAACTTGAATCTGCAAACCTAAATAATGCTGGGAGACAAAAACGATAGATAATAGATCATTAAAGGTCCCGTGTGTATAGTATGCTCTCTCTAAATCTGTCGAACAAACTGTGAAAAATATCCGACGCTTAACGTTATCTACTTATCCTGCCCTATATGTATATAACTTTGCGCTATATAGAGAGAGATATATTGATTTATTGATATTGAAGATTTTACAGCTAGCTAAGAAATATAGCAGCTACATTTTGTGTATTATTTTCTATGTGCTATTACTACTGTCCTGTATGTGCGCTGCTACATTTAAACTTCCCCACTATGGGATGAATAAAGGATCTGTTATCTTATCTTAAACCATAGACTACTAGACTACTACTGGAATATTCGCCATATGTTGTTATGGCATACATTGGTGGATAATATGCTTGAAAAATTAGGATTCCTCAAGAAACCCAGGTTCTTGCTCTTGCGTTCATGCAATCCTGGAAACGCAGGAGTTCCGACTTCCCGCAAACAAAAAATGGGAATAAACGCTGCTCAAATCGGAAATTTCACTCTCGAACTTGGGCTGAGGTCGATGATCCCAGAGTTACTGTGACACCGGTCAGATTGTAATTGGAAGAAAGAATAGACAAACTGGGAGGACATATGTTTTATATCATACTAATGGTTTTACTAAAAATACAAGTTTTTAAGTCGAAGATCAATTCAACATGATGATTAGTGAATCTATGAGCGCAAAAGCCTGGCAGACATTTTTCAATCAATCAATCAATCAATCTTTATTTATAGGGCGCTTTTCCTGCACAGGGCAACACAAAGCGCCTCACAGTCCACACCACACAATGCACAAATCATCACCATTAAAATACAATTAAAAACACATATGTAATTAAAAAGCATTAAAATCACATAAGTAATTTAAAAACATAAAAATCACACAAGTAATTAAAAACAATAAAATAGTTAAAAACACAAAAAGTTACAACAATAAATAACAAGGTGTGTTAAAAAGATAAAATTCTCTAGTTGTATGCACGGGAAAAAAGAAAAGTCTTTAGCATGGATTTGAACATTGACAGAGAGGCAGCCAGTCTCACATCCTCAGGAAGACCGTTCCAGACTCCAGCTGCATAAATCTGAAAAGCAGCCTCCCCCTGTCTAGTCCTGACTCTGGGCACTAACAGGAGTCCCGTCCCTGCGCTCCTCAGAGTCCGGGCTGGTTCATATGGGACTAGCATATCATGGATGTACTTTGGTGCAAGGCCATGGAGAGACTTGTACACCAGGAGAGCTGCTTTAAAGTCTATCCTCTGGGCCACGGGAAGCCAGTGCAGAGACCTGAGGACCGGACTAATGTGGTCGTACTTCCTGGTTCTAGTCAGGACTCGGGCTGCAGCATTTTGAATATACTGCAACTGTCTTACTGCATGTTTGGAGATACCTGTGAGCAGGCCATTGCAGTAATCCAGCCTACTGGAAACAAAAGAATGGATAAGAATCTCCAAGTCTGCCCTGGACACAATATTTTTAATTTTGGCAATATTTTTCAGATGATAAAAAGCTGCTGATGTTACCGATCCAATGTGGCTATTACTCCCAGATTTCTGACCTTATTTAAGGGCCTTAGGGAGAGAGACTGAAGGTGACAAATGACGGTCTCTCTTTGTTTCTCGGGACCAAAGACAATCATTTTCGGTTTTGTCCGCATTTAGCTGGAGAAAATTGCATTGCATCCACTCACTGATCCGCTGGATACAGTGAAGGAGTGAGTCCACCGGCCCATGCTCTCCTGCAGTCCGTGAGACATAGATCTGAGTGTCATCAGCGTAATTGTGGTAGGACACTTTCATACTTTGAATTAACTGACCTAATGGCAGCATGTAAATATTGAACAGGAGAGGTCCCAGAATCGACCCCTGTGGCACTCCGCAGGTCAGGGCCATATTATCTGAGACATAGTTAATACAGTAGTAGTTACAGTGTAGATGCATAATCGTGTTTTCTCATAAGGAACACAATTTTTGCTCTTGTACTTCTCAGGATCAAAACAGTGAAGCTTTCGGTGCCTTTTCCATGAACGAGCAAAGAGAATTCTGCACATTTTTGTTTTGTTGTTGTTGCTGCTGCTGCACGTGTGTCACCAGCGTCACCGCCTCATCATTAGCCGTTTATTTTCTGCAGACATCCAGGAGGAATTACAAAGTTAAAGGGGTTGTATACAAATAGTTTTGCTCATTAATTTTCTAAGATAGACATGAGGCGATGAGAACTGAAGCAAAAATTTGACAGAAGCATCGTACAAAGATATAGAACTTGATATGACAAATACATTATGCGTTAAATATTTTATCCAGTATCTAACCAGTTTTATCCAGTGCTGTATCCTTTAGTATTGGGCTATACTTCACAACAGAATTCTTTTGAAAATTGCATGATCAAAGGCTGCAATATTTGTGTCTATTATATATAATGTATCTATTCTTACCACCACCAAATTAATATGAAGTTGAGTTGAATTGAGTTGCCCGGTCTTTCCCCGTGTTTGATTATCTGTGGAAATTGGAGTAATTTTAGTCCACATTCCTGTCCCCTCGTGGGTCATATAGAATTATAGAAATGGTGTAATCCTATTGGTTTAGCTCCAATTCAGACCCAGTATTAGCCCTGGTTTGCGGCAGTCGCTGCTTAAAAAGGCAAATATTCAGACGGTTGGTACTTGGAGTGAGACGAAGAGAGGAGCAGTGACCTATACATTTCTAAGAAGATGGCGTTTGTTATTTAAATGACTGAGGCTGTGAAAAGGACTGCCAGGACAAAGTAGGAGTGGAGTTGATATGCAGTGGCTGAGTGCATGTTGGGAGGGTAATCATCCAGAGAGCAGCCTCCGATCTGAGCGCCTCCACGGAAGTCCAGACGATACACAACACTCACACTTCACTGGAGGCAACTTCAGGGAAAAGAACACACAGGGACAAATAGGACTGGGGATGATAACTGGGAGAACTAAAACAGGTTTAAATAATATTCAGTTTTTCAATTTTCCTCCGCAATTGAATAAGAACTGTGCCAGAAATGTGAAAAAACTATTATTTTAAATTCCCTGACTCCCTTAGGTGGCTGTAACAGTACAACAGGCTGAAGTCCTCCTTATACTGTGACTGGCTTGATTATTACCCATAGCAATAATAATATGGATTCATCATGTTTTTTATTAAGTTTTTTAATTTAATAATATAATTTTTAAAAATATTTGTATTGTATATTAAGTATACATACCCCCAGTCCCTCCCACAATATCCCCAAGAGGAGATATAGCATACATTTATAACAAAAAAAGAATAAGATAAAAAAAAGTATTGAAGTATTTTTTTAAAATAGTCATTATGGGAAAAAATATACATGATCCTCCAGCCTACACAGTCCTAAAACATATACAGTGATTTTAATACCACATTCATTTTACAGAAGCTATGATTGCATAAAGCCGACCTCAGAGCAATATTTGAGAGTTTTAGACATACCGGTTCGCCGAATCATGGCCGCGGTAGACAGACTATGAATAATTCTTATGATAACATTGAATTTAAAGTCAACCTAGAGTGGTTTGAAAGTCCGTCTCTGCTCATCACATCTGCAAGCTTCAGACTCATGCATACATAGCTCATTCATTCATTCATACATAGCTCATTCATATATTTTACGTTTAATGCCATTTCTGATAAACCACAACCTTTTAATTTACTAAAGCTGCCATCACTCTGATTTTTTTCATGGTCTTCATATAGCTGTTGCTTTTGTTCCCATTTTTGTAAACATAGGTATCCCAGTTTTTAATAATTGAATGTTTTACTAGCATTGTTCAAGTTATTTTAATATCCCAGTTCAATAAAAGAGTTCTCATTGTACACTATTCACCTCAAAAATCCCACCCACTTCCTGCTTTCTATTATCTATTCAATTCTAAGCTTATCCCATGTCTTTTGAAGTATAATTAGCAGTATTTGTGGCCCGGGAGGAAACTGCACCTCTGACCCTGTGTAAGCGTGCTGTGCGGCCGCTATAGAAAACAAGATGGAGGCAAGTCTTTGGGGAGGGGCTCATCGGGTGATTGACAGCAGATAAGACT